GGTCAAAAAGCACAAAGACCAACGAGTCTGACTGGATTCTTTGGTGGGGCCCTGATGACTGCTAGGAACAGGCGGAGCTGGACATAAATTTGACATATTTAAAGTCTAAGATGACCTGAAAGAGGTGCAGTTAACCATGGCTCTCCAACAGTTTGTGTGCTGCTTCACTGCGGTGATCGTTTTCTTCTGCAAAGGTGAGAAAATTATTTGATTGGTTGTTCTCTTTCTATAAAGCAAAGACATGTCACTTAAAGATGAACTGGTATGTTAATGTTTAAAGGTTTTATGTCAAAATTATCAACATCATCAATGAAAAGTTGAAGTTTGTCTCAGCAAAGATGCAGATTTTCTTAAAAGCTGTTCTAAATATAGAAACTAGACCTAAAGATCTACAATCCCCTCCCCCTAAAAAGTGTTGTGTTTAGTGTGATCAGTTCTTCAAGTTCGAAGAAAGCAGTCAGTGCTTACCTTCACAGGTTTGTCTGTGTGTTCTCATTTCCAGGTTGTCACTCACAGAAGCCCAGTAAGCATCCAAAGACATTTGAACCTTGTCTTCCTTCTGCCAGCTGTACAGTAATGAGCACATATAAAACTGTGATGTCCACATTTGAGTGTGCTGACTTTGGCTTTTCTATAAACTGTGATGTGATTTTGTTCAGTAAAATCTTCCAGTTTTCTGACACAGAGGAGGAACATTTGTGGATCACATGTAAACCACAGTCTAATGTTAAAATAACATCCACATGAATGTCACTGCTCAGGATCTCCCAGCAGAGTGTTGATCAGTGTTATCTCTCTGAGTGGTTTTAATGTGTTGGCTGATCTGTTTAGCTGTGCTCTCTCTTCTCTTGTCAGCATGTGGCAGAAGTGCTGTGAACAGCAGCAGCATCACAGGAGCTCGTGACGCTGCACCAGGAAGTTGGCCCTGGTTCGCTGCTGTAAACACTCATTCTGCAGGGTCTCTGATCACCGACCAGTGGGTGCTGACAGATGCATACTCCGTACCAACGTGAGTCACTGCTGCAAGTTTACACTTTGTTGAGGAGTAATATGATGATGAAGGTGAAGTGCAATATTTATGTGCACTAGAGATGTTTTTTT